CTTATATAGAGTTATTGAGATCACACAGTGTAACCCTGTAAGGTACCTATTAATATCTCCATTTTGTTGATGAAAAGTTGAGGTTCCAACAGGCTAAGTAATTTATTTAACGTCATAATGTTAATAAGCATTCAAATCCATGTCTTTTGACTACATGCATGTAGTAATCCTAGGGGAACAGGCCAGTCCCCCTTCCACTCCACCACATTTTGTCCCCTTGGTACTTGTTAAGAAGAATGTTCCTGCCTGGAACAACAATAACAAATAATACTAAGTGCGCTAGTGGAAAAATCAATTCAAGACTAAAACGTTTAAAGTATAATATGTTTGTTCACTACAGAAAATATCACTATCTAAACACACAAATCCTACTGCCATATTGATTACTAATAGGAAAAATATTTTACATGGTTGAATGAAACCAAGGATATAAAAGTAGGAGACAGTGTCAACTGAAGAGATGAAAGGTGCCTGATAGTTCCTTGCTTCTGCTCTCCTAAAGTCTGGTTGTGTGCATCTAATATTTATGATTTTTATGCAAATCCTCTGTAACCAAAAGACTTTTAAAAATGGAAACCATGCAAACACATACACACAAGTGAAACTATTAGTTGTGTTTACAGCTTAGCTAAGCTGAACTGACAGGAATTCACACACAAAAACAAAACCAGAAATGTCATAATAATTAACATATATAGCACTTATTATATATGCCAGGCAATGTTGCAGTTTTACATATCATTTGAGCCTCCCAAGAGTCCTATTATATAGGTCCTATTATTGTACAAATGAAGAAACTGAGGCACAGAATGATTAAGTAACTTGCTCAGTATCACATAGCTTGTAAGCAGCAAAGCAAGCTCAAGAGTCTGTGGTCTTAAACACTATTATACTGCCTCTCATAAAATTTAAAAGGTGGTTGTGACTTTCCTCCCTCTGGAGAGTTCTGAGATTGCATTTTAGAACTATACTTCCTAAAGGGCAGAGCGATGGACTAGGTAACTCAGACTTAATGTTCTGAAATGTGTAAGTTGTGAACAAGAGAAACTGTCATACCCGAGCAGAACGTGGTGGTCTGATATGGTCAGCAGCTGCTCCTTCTGGGGGAAAAAAAAAAAGCATTTCTTACAAAACTCTTGAAAGACTTGCATAAGCAGTCCAGGGAGGGACCCGATCACTTTTTGCCACAGGAGATTCTTTTTTTTGTTTGTTTGCCACAGGAGATTCTTTTGTTTGTTAACTCCTACCTTGTGGGCTAGTTTTAAATAAAACTTTAGGGGCACTTGGGTGGCTAAGTCGGTTAAGTGTCTGCTTTCAGCTCCGGTCATGATTCCAGGGTCTTCAGGCTCCCGGCTCACCAGGGAGTCTGCTTCTCCCTCTGCCTCCGCTGCTCCCCCTGCTTGTGCTCTCTCTGTCAAAATAAATAAAATCTTAAAAAATAAATAAATAAAACTTTAAAACATGCTATTAATGTGCCTGGTAAGTTTTTATTTAAAACAAACAGCTTAAGTACTATTCCATGACTTTGCAAAGTGTAAAGGTACAAAACTGTAGAATATTATGAGTAGCCCAGCAGGGCAGTCCTCTAACATGGAATTTTATGATGGTCTGGGCCTTGACAGTTCTCCCTGGGAATTGCTTTGTAAGGATTATTGTTGCTTCAAAGCAGTGGTCCTTGTCCAGGAGGATAGAGGGATGACGCCCCTGCATGTAGCAGCCTTCCTTCCATATCCTTGAGACAAAGGATGTGGGCTCAGTACAAATAATATAATGAACTATATACTGAATAGTTTTTAATTTTCTGGCTGAGTAATCCTGATATTCCCTTTCTAATCCATTCTACTTCACTCAAATTACCTCAAATGTATTCCTGTCAACATCCTGCTCCAAAACCTTCAAGAGCCACCTAATAGAATACTGTGCAAGTTATTTAGCGTTTAAAGTCCTCTCCCATGTAGCTTAAACCTACTTCCCATTATTCTGACTCTGCTTTAGTCACAATTTTTTTTCCTTCTCCCCACTCATTGTCCATGCTAGAGTTACAATCCTATAGTCTACTGCTATTCCTCTGCCCACTGTTTCCTCTTTCTGGAATAGTTTCCCAACTTATTTACATGCTAATCATTCTTCAAAGTTCACTCACCCAAGCCCCAGTCCCAAGAAGCCTTCTCTGAAACTGTGCACTCACTAGGATATCTACCTGAAGCTGCATTCAAAGCACTTATCATAAACTGTCTTTGATGTTTTTCTCTACCTGTTCCTTCTAGCTAAAAAGATTATAAATCATCTCAGAGAAGGGACTAAGTCTTTAACTTCCGAATCCAGTATAGTACCCAACACAATATACATGTCCAGTGATTGCTGAAGGGGACTTTTAACTCTGGTTTTAAAAATATCTGCGGATATTACCAATTTGCTCAAAAGGTTTAACATTTGGTTTAGACAAAATTCCACAAAGATCACAAAGTAGTTTTAAGAAGGATACAAGGATAAAGGTACAAGGTAATGTACCTTTAAGCTGGGCCTCAGCCTAAAAAGACATCTGAGTTTAGAATCCCATTTCTCTTATAGTAGATATGATCATGTGTAGACTGCTACCTGGAACATGAGAAGTTACAAAGGCTCTCTAAAGAGGAGAAATTAACAAAATAGGCAGATACTTCTTGTGCTGTCTTCCCTTCCATAAACTACAAGTGGCTTAGTTTAATACACGAGAAACCAAATAATTTTTTAATGTCTTCTGCATCAATTATACTTCTAAGTGACAGAGTAAGGAGAATGAAATATACATGATGTACATTTATTACCAATTATGTCTACATTAGGAAAGATGTAATGGTTTGTCAGTTGTCACTGTCCTTTTCTTGTAACACAATATGGAATAAAGTGCAGCAGAATAATTTCTATTAAAAAAATCTTCTACAGGAGCACCTGGGTGGCTGTTGGTTAAGCGTCCGCCTTCAGCTCAGGTCATGATCCCAGGGTCTGGGATCAAGCCCCATGTCAGGCTCCCTGCTCAGTGGAGAGCCTGCTTCTCCCTCTCCCTTCCCCTGCTTGTATGCTCTCTCTCTGTCAGATAAATAAATAAAATCTTAAAAAAATTAAAAAAATCTTCTACATTATCTGATTGTTTCAGATATTTATCATTATCATTTACCAAGATTTTGGTTTCTATATACCAATCAGAAAGAGAGAATTTCTCACACAAATAGGGCAGGGTCTGCCTCTTTCCATACAATTCACAGCACAGGTGCTCGCTTCGGCAGCACATATACTAAAATTGGAACGATACAGAGAAGATTAGCATGGCCCCTGCGCAAGGATGACACACAATTCACAGCACAGTAATTTTTTAAAGCAATAGCACTTCTAAAGCACTTTTCATGCCAGACACTGTGCTAACACTACTTGTATTTCCTCATTAACCAGCACCACTGTTATCTCCGTTTTACAAACGAAGAAAGTGAAGTTTTGAGAAGTAAAACCCTTGGTCACGACTACTACGTGTTCAGCCTGGGGCTAACACCCAAGCTTCCCTCATCCCAAATCTCATTCTCCAGAAATGAGCAAATTAGCTAACATCATTTTGATTTATAGAAATCCCCTTCAGGAATGAATATGCTCACTACTGCTGTTAGCCTTTGTATTTCCCGAATCACAGGACTTAATAATGACTTGCTTTCATATTCAAGTCTCTTAGGCTCTTTTGTCATTCTAATTATCCTAAATAAATCCTGATCATCCCTACTTATTTTTGCAGCCCTCCAATTACTGCATCGGTTATCTTTTCTTCATTTAACATCACCGGGCTCCTACTGAGCTCAAAGACAATGTTCTGGGAGAGATGGGCACGAACCAGACAAAATATGTGCCTTCAAGTAGCTGAAAGCATACCATATAATCAAGGTATGGGTTTTTTTTTTTTCTTTAAAGATTCCATTTATTTATTCATGAGAGACAGAGAGAGACAGAGAGAGACAGAGAGAGAGAGGCAGAGAGAGAAGCAGGCTCCCAAGGAGCAGGGAGCCCGATGCGGGACTTGATCCCAGGACCCTGGGATCATGACCTGAGCCGAAGGCAGACACTTAACCATCTGAGCCACCCAGGCGCCCTCAAGGTATGGGGTTTTTAATTCATCATCCATAGCATGAGTGTTTTCTACATGTGTCTTAATTATGAGACAAAAGATTCTCAAAATCCGGAGCCCATGGCACTTAGTTCCTACCTGTGTGATACAGCATTGGCAATATGCCTCAATTCGCGGTTCTACTAAGGGATTCTAATTTAGTCGCATATTCCCTGTGGCACTGTCGTTGATGCTTTGCATCAATTCGCCATACTGACTGATAATCTGTCATACCAACAAGCCAGGGGCCTCTGTCTCCGGAAGTTCACTGTCACCAGGGGCCGCTGACACTTCTTTCCTCAGAGAAACCTCCCCCATTCTGGTTGAGGTCTCTAGCGAACCCATGCTTGCGACCAATGGCCGCCGCTCATCACAATGTAAACTCCAAGAAAGGCTCCGCGAGAGGCCCGACAGCGCACGTTCGTGGCAGCCCATAACCACCAGGGGAACGGAACGGAACGGAACGAGGGCTCCGTCGCCCCACCGCCGCCGGCGCCCCAGCAGGCAGGAACGTCCTCCCCTCAAGTCTCCCAAGGACTAGCTGCGGCCGAAACCCCTCATGCCCTGCCCCGCCCCACCCGCGCACGGAGCACGCAACGTTCGCGGTGCTAGCCGCCACTGCACTAGGGGAAAAGGGCGAGAGAAATCCGAGGTTCCGCCCGGCCAGGGCCAGGGGCGCTGAAGAGCGCTCGCGTGAAGCCCTGCCCGTGAACTCTCACCCATGACGAGATCCTTACGAGAGAGCCGGGGACGCGGAGCCACCGCCCACACTCGTCGCCCCAGCCAATCCGGGACCCGCCTTACCCATCGCGCACACGCACGCACCCACCGGGACCCTCGCCTGCGGGCCGCTGGCTTCTGATTGGCTGGGGCCAGGTGTGGGCGGGACGAGGAGAAGCCGGCTGGACGGCTAGCGTGCGAGAGAGCCAGAAACCAGTTGGAGCCGAAGTCCTGTCATTGTAGGTAGGTGAAGATTGAGAGAGTCCTGGGAGCGGAGGACACCCGACCGTGGGGCGGGAAGAAGCCGGGCAGCGCTTGGCTGGGCCGAGAGCGCTGCGGGAGTGGTGGGGTCCGCGGGGCTGGGAGGAGGGGGGAGATGCTCGGGTTGAAGGGGGCGAAGTGGAATTGGCGGGTTTCGGGCCCGACCTCGTGGTTCAGGGAAGGTTGGGGCGTCTGATGGCCTTTCGGGTGAGGGGATGAAGTAGAAGCTTGTGGAGTAAATCGTGGCGGAGAGGGAAGACTCGCGGAGGGGGCAGTAATGAGAGAGCCTTGGAGGGGGCTGGGGCCGACCTCAGGGAGCCGGTAGCGCGGATAGTACCCGGAGCAGGGAGCCTGCCGGAGAGCGGGCCCGCGCGGTGGGTGAGGAGGGAAGGGTTGGGAGGGCAAGCGCTCCGGCCCTGGACTCCCGGCAAGGTCACGGGGTGGGGGGGCGCTGTTCGAAAGGTTGAGGACGTAAAACCATACGACCTTACTCTTCTCCACGACCCCGGGTTTCCTCCTACCCTGGGAGGGTAAGATGGCCCCAGGCGCTCTATAAAGCATCTGTGACGGGATTTAAATTTCTTCCAAGAAAGCTAAACCCGCCAGTTAGGAATTAGAAAACAGAGCGCGGGTTTAGAATTGGGAGCAGCTGAAATGATTCGTCAGTGTTTCTCGCCTTTCTCTCTTATATACGGGTGTGGGCAGCAGCTAGTTCCTTCTGTCGAGTAATCCCCACCACAGGATTTATGCTTCCAGAAGTACCCAGCACTTTCGAGTTTGACCGGTTTGGATGGAAAAGTTCAGACAGATTGAAGAGGCACCAGGCCCCAGCGTGACACACAAGTTTGAGTCCTGTATACCAGGGCATCTCTTAGTTCCTTGTGCCCCAGAATCAGTCAAAGGGGGCTTCTTAAAATAGATTCCTTGGGCCCTGCCCCAGACCTTCTGAATCAGAATCTCCAGGGTGGGGCCTTTGCAGCCATTTTAAACAAGCTGACAGATGACTGATGGAAAATCAAAATTTGAAGTCCTTGTTATTAGTAGTTCTGTGACCAAAATGACAGGCTGTGAAGATCCTTCAGTCTGTTACATCACCTCATGCTGGGCAGCTCATCTTCCCTGACATCTTTTCTAGGTTCCCATGCATTTGGAAAGGTCTGCAGTAGTATCTTAGTAAGTTTGGAGAATAATTAGTGTTTTCAGATTGGCTTTGAATATCATCTGGTCATTGGTGCCTCTTTTTCTACCTGTTCAACTTTTTGACAGAGATCTGGGTCAATTGCTATGGGCAGATGAGAAAATTAAAGGGAAATCTAGAAGTCCTGCTAGTAAAAAAGATCTGTTCAAAGCACAGTTGAAATTGGTGAATGAGTTAAGTCACTAGGGAAGGAAGTTCCATTTAATTTTAGGCATGACTTGCATATTTTTTACAATTCAAAGAAAGAAAGGCAGGCTTCTGTTAAGGAATGGATTTTAATATTTTTCAGATTAAATATATTACCAGCAAAAGATTGATGCCTTGGCAATATGTTGTCAATCAGAAGAACTCTGGACTGTATCAGGAGATCTGGGTTCTAATCCTCCCCTGCCAGAGATACATTCTTGATGTTGAACAATTCATATAACCTTTTTCCGTCTGTAAAATTAGGCTACTGGCATGGATTGTCTGGATTGTTATTCTCAAATTATATGATTCATAGTTATTGATCCTGATACATTAAAAGTTAGCCATTTTCAAGTTGTGTGGGTGTAAATCATGAATACTTGGGAAACTTTCAGATGGTAATTAGGAAGAGAATTACCAAAATTTTATACGCAAGGAGTGTTATGAATATATAATATATTAGGTATAAAAATATAATTTGAAGTATAGTATAATAAATCTGTGATGTGTTGGACTTTTTATATTCCTCTTTATTAATTTTATCTTTAAATGCGCCACAAGGTGTTCTCGATCAGAAACAGGTTATCATTAGTCAGTGAAAGCAAATAATGACTACATGGTTTCCCCCACACCCTTATTCTTACCCTAAGGATTACTTTCTGAAAACGAGATCAAATGTCCTACCCATACAAACTTCAGAGTCTCTATCATAGGTGAGGAATGGAGATTCTTTTATATACAGGAGAGAGATTGCCGTCCCCTTCCTTCCTGAAGGAGGGAGAAAAAACTTCTCCGTTGACCAGTTGAACAATTTACACTGATCCAGAGGTGAGAGATTAGAGGAGAGACCACTGACTTTCTTGTTTTTAAAGATAATTCCCAAATGACTTCTTAGTTTAGGAATAATTAAAGCAAAGGAAGAAAACATGCATATATCTGCAAAAGAAGGTGCTAGTTTTAGAAAGTGGGTTGTGTTATATAATAGTTTTGTCTCTTGTGGTTGCAAGGAACCAAGACCTACTCAAGTTATCATTTCTTCTTTCATAAATAAAATATAAAAATTAAATAAGCACTTAGGTACATACAGTTTGGCATTTTTCTTACTGACCAGTTAAACTCTACAAATGTGTTTACTTGTTGTTTTCACCAAATTTTCCTAAATTATTCTAATTGTTGAAATAGATCATTTTTAAATTTATTCAACAAATATTTTGTGCTATGCTTACTGTATGCAAAGCATCATGCCAGGCAGTGGAGATATAGATACAAGCAGGACATCTATAGCCTGCTAACTTCAAGGATTCTAGCAAGAGAGACAATTGAACAGGCATTTATAAGAAAGAATTATTTTAGAGAAAGCATGGGGTCCTATAGGACTGCATAATCAAAGCAATGATCATACTTAGCCAAAGGAGACTTCCAATGAAAGTTAATTAAGAACCTGAAAAATGAGAGGAGTTAGCTAGGAAAAAGTATCTGAAGGAGATGAAAAGGGAGGAAAAGTGTTAGGCAGAGAAATCAGCTTGTACAAAGGCACTGAAGTACAGAGAACATCTTTAAGAAATTTAATGTGATTAGATTATGGGGTTCATGGCCAGAAAGGTAGAAGGAGGATCTGTGATAAACCCTCATGACTTTGAGAAGCTTAAGGTTAGTTTTGAAAGCAACAAATAAGCATATACTTGCCTAAAATATAATGTTTAATAGCTCCATCTAGTCCATTTTTGTAGTTTCTTGAAGGCCAGTCTCAAATATTTCCCAAACCTACTTTAGCTAAAAGATACCACACTCTAAATTCAGTTCTCATTCTCTGTTATGCTCTTGGAAGTAATCATACTCTATCTATCCTGTCCCTTTAAAAAAAAAAATCTAATTTTTAACGATTAATTATTTTAGTGTTTGTTTTAACTCTTCACATATATACTGAGCGTCCTGAACCTAGAGCTTGTTGAACCTTGTATATAATAAAAGCTCAGTAAGTAGGGGTTTATTCAGTTAGCAGGTAATGGAGTACAAAAAAAGAAGAGAAAGACTAATTCAAATCTGAGTTTCCTCTTATTTAGCTGTGTGATGTTGCACAACTCCTCTGGATTAAGGTTTTCTTTGTCAGATAACAGAATTGGATTCTTCCCAATGGGAATGGGAGCTCAGAAGGATGATTTCACTTTTCAAACTAAGCACTACACCTCCCTCTAGAGTTGGATTTTCTTTAGGGTGTTACCTACTACTAACACTCCTGGAATAGCAAAGTATTGAATGAGAATTATTATTGAAGGGAGTATAATGCATGATGCACATGAAAAACCCAGAGGTGGAGGTAAGAAGTTATATAGGTAGTGGGATGGGCAATTGACTTTTGAAGTTACTGTAGCTGACACTAATCAGACTTGTACACTTAACATACTATGTTTGACTCCCTTCTTTTATCTATGGATCACGTTTATGGGCGGTTTAAATCAGCTCAGTGAAGAAGGAAGTATATACATATTTATTTTGACTAAGGTGAAGCTGAATTTATTTTCTCATTATGATGAAACACCTATTAAATAGCTTCCTGTGTAAAGAGAGATGACCGAAAAAGGGAGAATGGAGGTAGAGAATTTTAAGAGGGAGGTCCAGGGAATGTAAGGTCTGTAAGGGAAAGTAGAGCTGAAGCTTAGGAGATATTCATTAAGAAGACCCTGAGGGTTGTTCAGTGTTTTTTGTTTCAGTGATGTTAAAAATGGTAACCCTAAGTAAAAAAAGAACTAAACTAAAAGGCTGTATTATGTTCAGCTGAATGTAAATTATGCTTAAAAAGAGGCATTTCTAGCAATAGTATTTAAAATAAAAGCTTTGTCTTTTTTTTTTAAGATTTTATTTATTTATTTGAGCGAGAGAGATTACAGAGGGAGAGGGAGAAGCAGACTGAGCGGAGAGTCCAATGGTGGGGCTCAATCCCAGGACCCTGAGATAATGACCTGAGCCGAAGGCAGCCATTTAACTGACTGAGCCACCCAGGCGCCCCAGTAAAAGCTTATTCTTACAAAGAGGTAAATAATGAGCTAAGTAGAAATTTTGGTTATTCAGAACAGCTGTAATCTTTCCCCAAAACGGCCACCATTAGTATAATAGGGGAAACTATTCAAAGGTGAGAACTGAAGCCATGTAGCATGTTGGAGTCGGTAAGTCAGTCTCAGTTGTAACCAATAAAAACTACACTTAAAAGTGTTTAGTAGGATATTCAACATGTTTTGAAGAGGCAGTAAGGAGTATTGGTTTGGTTTGAGTGAAGTTAAGTTAAATTGACTAAGTGTGCAAATAGCCAGAAAATCAATGGCTACTATTTTAATTGACAAAAGTTATTTCAATTAAAAAAAAAAACTTTCACTGTTATCAGCGATGTGGTGCTAAAAAGGAATTGATTGGGGTGCCCCAGTAGCTCAGTCGGTTAAGCTTCTGACTCTTGATCTCAGGGTTGTGAGTTCAAGCCACATGTGGGGCTCCATGCTGAGTGTGGAGCCTATTTAAACATAAATAAATAAAAATAAAAAGGAATTGGTTGTATGGGATAAACATCAGAACAATGGGGAATAAATACAACTCTTCCTAAAAGTAGCTATGGGTTAAAAATACAGTTAGTTTCTAAAAAATACTTTTTAAACTTCATGGATAACATACCATGTATTTATGTGGAAACTAGGAGTATTTTAAGTACATCCAGCTATTCAGTGTAGTAGATGGCTTTTAATTATAGAACCTCCTGGAAATTCTCTTTCAGGAGGATTCTTCAGCCACTATGTCAACCGGCACAGATGTTTCTCTTTCTTCATATGATGAAGATCAAGGATCTAAACTTATCCGAAAAGCTAGAGAAGCACCGTTTGTTCCCATTGGTAAGTTTGACGTTGATGTTCTAATAATCAGTCTGTTGTAAGCTTTAACTCAGTAGAAGTGTGGTCAGCTCATCCATCAAGCACATTCTGAAAGCATTTGTTTTCATATATTTTGTTCATATGTTGAAATATGTAAGATTGGCTTGATATAACTCTATAAAAGTTCTTCTGTGTGTCTTCAGCCTTTGTTTATTGATTCTTATTTCAGTGAATGTGTTGGGGGACTCCACGATCACCCTCAGTCTCAGTGATTTGCTAGAAGGACTCACAAGACTCAAAAAAAAAAAAAAAGCTTACACTCACAGTTATGGTTTATTACAGTCTCTGCTATGTTACCTGATTCCCTTCAGGGAAGGAAGTAGGACTGAGAGGAAGAGTCCCCTTGGCACTCTTAAAGCACCTACTGGCTCCACAGCCCACATTTTGAAGATGATCTTCACTTTCTGAATCTGCTACTGTTTGCTACTGATTATGGATTTTGGGTTTTGAGGGGGGAAATTAAAAATTCAATTTATGTTAGTTAATTAATGGTCTCAAACATCTTTGTAAAAATAGTAGAAAGTACACTGATTGATAGTAAAGTCATCTTGGTTCCCTGACCCCATGCATATGACGTACTTGTGACTATTTGTTTTACAGGAATGGCGGGGTTTGCAGCAATCGTTGCATATGGATTATATAAATTGAAGAGCAGGGGGAATACTAAAATGTCTGTTCACCTGATCCACATGCGTGTGGCAGCCCAAGGCTTTGTTGTGGGAGCAATGACTCTTGGTAGGTTCTTAGAGGAAATTTTCAAGTTTGTAATTCCCATTAATAGACTTTATAAATCAAGGTAGATACTTTTTGCTGACTTTGAAGTAGTTTGAAATGTTACTTATATCTATTTTCACATAAAAATTGGATTAATAGTAGTGACAAAGTTTTAGTGTCTGTGATACATCTTACCAGTGTTTTAAAGAAAAAGCAATTCTGTCCATCACAGAGTTTATAATTTCACTGGAGTCTAGATATGTAAATAGGGTTGGTAGTAAGATCCATTATCTGGGAGAGACATAGGACTACTATTTTACTGAATTTTTGAAAGTGGAAAAGTTTGTTGTTTTTTTTAGAGAGAGCCTGAGAGGGGTGGGACAGGCTGAGGGAGAGGGAGAGAGAGAATCTTAAGCAGCCTCCATGCTCAGCGCAGAGCCCAACACAGGGCTTGATCCCAGGACCCTGAGATCATGACCTGAGCCGAAATTAAGAGTCGGTTGCTTAACCGACTGAGCCACCCAGGTGCCCTGGAAAAGATTTTTTTAATGTAGGTATTACACTCTTTTATTGGCTTTATAATTCGTTGACTTTACTTACTGTTACATAGCAAGAGTGACTCCTTTTAAAGTTGTAAGATAAATACTGATCTTTAAAACATATTTCAGTAGTCTGAACTAGTCATACTAGCCTTGAGCTGCTTGGGAACCTATATAAAAAGAATTTCAGAAATTTAAATAGTTTAAGAAGGCAAGAGTATAAGCGGCCTAGGGTCTTGTTCCTCTTGTAAATACTGCATGCTAGGAGGGTGCTACATTTAGCGGTTTTATGAGCTGTTTTCAATTTTCTTAATATCGTGGAAAATATTAAGTGCTTAACTAATACATTTTCTTTCTTTAGGTATGGGCTATTCCATGTATAAGGAATTCTGGGCAAAGCCTAAACCTTAGAAGAAGAGAAGCTATCTTGGTTTGGTTGGTGGTGCTTGCTTTAGCTAGGCATCTTATACTGAATTTATATGTTTATGTTGAAAATAAATCATTTGAATGGGTCACACAATAACACAGTAATTTAAATATTGGCTTCCTTTCTTGCAGGCTTGATTTGCCTGGTAACCAAATTACTAGTGACTAGTAGTTAACTAGCTAGGTCATTCAGCAGAGTCAAATTAGAACAAAAGAAACATGTCACTTTTAAATGTACTTGATAGTGGTAAAATATGCTCCTTCTTAAACTCTTCTGATAAAAATCAGTTAAAAAGAGGACAATTTGCCAATCCTGAGTACTCCCAGTTGCTGCAGAATATCACATGCTTTTGATGTTATGTAGGAATCCCATTTAATTTTTTTCTGCCTGTTTTGCAGACTGATTGAGTACTTCAGTTTTTAGGGCTGGTTGGCTCTTAACCCTTTGAGAACAGTGCATGGAATATAATATAATAAGCTTCCCCACAACCGAAAATACGTGTATTTAAACCAAACCTAAAAAAGCCGATAACAGCTGCTTAGAAGTAGTATTTATTTCAGAATCATACTTGTAAACATGAGAATAACTTAACTGTGGATCCCAGTTTAGCTTTTTTTTGTAATTGCAGAGTTATATTTATGCTGCTGTTGTATTAGAATAACTTTTAAATGTTATCTTAAAATAGAAATGTGTATTTTAAGTACTAATGCAAAGGTTAGATAAAAACACTTTTTAAATGTATGAAGTTTATTTTCTCTGTAAGAATCATAAATGTTAACAAATTACTTATAATTGAAGTGATTAATGATTTATCAGCAAGGTGGTTTGGTCAGACATTATACACAAACTTTGGTATACTCCAGAATGCTTTATTACACTTGTGAAATTTTCTTGTCTAACCTGAATTTACATTCCATGGTGATAACATGGTAAATGTAGTATTAGTAAAGTCAGTGAACACATTAATTGCCTTGTATTTATTTCATTTTGGAAAAAATCAATCATTCCTCAAAGTAACACAAGGATTAAGTTCCAAGAAGAGAGAGAATGTTTTGTACCTTTGGTAGGAACTATGGTTAAAGAATATTTATCAAATAGGAATAATAGTATCTATTGAGTATATACTATGTGCCACACACTATTCTAAGTGCTTTTCATGTATAATGTCATTTAGATTTCCTAACAACCCTAAGAGGTAGGAACTATGATCCTTATTTAACAGAGGAGGAGGCTGAGGCATGAACAATGTAAATATCTAACCCAGGATCACTTAGCTAGAAAGGGGTGTAGATTTGGGACTGGAACCTGGGCAGTCAAGTCGTAGATGCCAACAGGTATTAGAAATGTTGGCCTTTGTGAAATTAATACTGGAGTGGCAGCAGTTATCATATATTAATAAAATTAGGCAGGAGGTTACAGCATGGTCTTGACTCACCACTGACTCTGTAACTTGGATCAAATCCGAGTTTTCTCAATCTTAGCTATGAAATGAGAAGTTGAACTGGGTAATTTCTACAGTCCTATATAGCTTATAGGTCATTATATGAGTCAGAAAAGTGCTTTAAAAATAAAGCTATTACTAGGAACTATTTTCTCAGGTTCCAATAGACCTGATAGGAGATCCTGGTAGGCAGTCCCAACAATTGTTTCATGAAGGATAAGCCTTCTGTAGAACAAATTTGGGAAAAATTTTCAGAAAATTGTTGTTCTAATGGATGAGTACATTATTGATTTGTTAAACTAAATTACTCATTTGAGAGAAGTTGATCTAGACCAATGCCAGAGGATAGGCCAAACAAAAGTGAAGTGTTGAAAGGGTACTGAGCATTATGTTCATAAGGGTGGGGTTGCTCATTCAAGGAAGAGAGTGGTAAATTAGCTGGATGAATAGCTTGGCATCAGATAATGGAAATTCTTAAAAGTGGTTCAGGTGGATGTGATATTACATGTTATTAAGTCAGTCCTGGATTCACAGTTCTACCACCTACTAGTCAAGTAGCCATGGCTTCCTCATCTGTAAGATAGGGACAGTATCAGTGGCTGAGGGTCATTGGGAAGATAAAATGTAGTGGTGACTGTAAGGAGCCTGTCATGGCACCTAATGCATAAGTAAACTCAGCAAATGACCGCTACTTCTGTCGGTACTGTGGTAAGCTTGGGAAAGCAGCAGTGCAGTGCGAGGGCCCTGTCCTCACAACTGACAGTCCAGCAGGGAAGGCCATCATTAAGTGCTTATAAAAAGCATGTTGAATGCTAGGTATAGGTAGCAGCAGTAACATCCAGCGGGGGGACTTAACCCAGGGTTGGAGTCAGAAAGTATCCCTCAGGAAGCGATGTTGTACCTTAAAGAGATGGTATGTTGATTTTCACTGAGAGTTTGATTCCTTGGCTTAATGTTACATGTTATTGGGGCATTGGTGTGTGATTGCTTCCATGTCTCCTCTAGTATCTTTGAGGCCATGATGATCTTTTTCATCCAAAGCACCTGGAACTAGTGCCTGGCTCATATAAATATTCAATAAATACTTGTTTAATTGGAATAAGTAGGTTTTGGTTTTTTGCATTCATGAGTCTGTCACTGGAGGTTCCCTATTTCTGGTGAGCAACAGTGACATCTGGTGGTAAGAGTTGGAACTGAAATCTTCAAAGTACACTGCTTCTCTGTCAGGATTTTGGAGTAGAGGATCAGCCTGGGCAAGCCTCTTGCCTCATAGTTGAGGAAATGCTACTTGGAGAGTTTTCAGGAACTTGTAATTTAGGCTCTATCTCCATGTAAATCTACAGCCCGTTGTAACATACTTACTAGGCCAGAACAAAGCTGAATGAATATAAGGTATTTTAAAGTTCTCCTGTGTCAAATGATAGAACTGCCAATTATTATTTATATACCTGATCCTGTTTGAAATAAAGAATTAGCTTTTAGCAAGGTAAACGTTAGAAAATTTTTTCCAAATTCAGCAGTGATAAATGATTCTAGGTTGGAGTCAGTGTCCACTTGGTCGCCTCAGAGGAACCTGGTAACAGGTCCTCTCTGTAGTATTCTGAGCTTCTTATAATGGTGTTTGTTTTTTTTCCCTGTCTCCAGTGTAACTGAAGTGTCACGGACTAAAATTTTACAACGTGAGGAGGAAATGCCATCCTGCCTTTCATGCCTAGACCTAAATTCAGCCCACACATAACTATACTTGCTGTCTTCCCACTGGTGCCCCTTCCAGGCTCACGCATCTCTGTCACTGACACCCTCCATCTCCCTCTGTCATGCTCTGGGCTCAAACTTTTAGAAATGTCTTTCTTTTCTCCTGTGTTGTTACCACTGTTAAACCACTCACCAAATCCTGCCAGGTTTTCCTAAACAGAGTCTCCCAGATTTGTCCTTTTCCACCTGTGGCTACTACTTTAAATGTAGGCCCCTCATCTCCTGTTCTGCGACCTAGTCCAGCCGTGCCAAAGCCCTGTGCTCACCACTGCCCCCCAACACCTTGGCTCATGCTCCATGGTTTCCTGAATGTTCCCTTTCCCCATTCCCAGACAATTCAAGTGCACACCCCGAAGACCCACCCCAAATTCTACTTTCGGTAAATCTCTGAACTCTTGTAGGACACAGTGAACTTTCCTTTTATCACATCTTCCCGTAATGAGTTGCAAATGTGTGCTCGACTATGACAATACTTTTGTACACTGCTTTGCTGTATAGTAAATGCTTCAATACTCTTTTCTACTAGTTCTTCACAAAAACGCTGAAGTACATATTACCCTGACTTTATGAACAAGGAAAGCTGTAATTTACTCAAGTACATACAATTGAAAAGTGGCAGAGCACAAACCTAGAGCCTTGGTCACGTGGAGAGACTGCATGATGGAAGGGAAGGCAGGTACATAAAGTAATACCTGTTCAAGAAATACCTTTATTTCCACCTTCCATCACACACACACACACACACACATTGCCCATTCAGGTCCCAAGTCCAATGGTTTTTTCCAATGTACCATAACTGCTTTGTCCTCAGATTTCTTCATTTATGAAAATTTCAGTATTTGTTTTGGCCTTTATGAGAAGAAAGATGAAGGAATTCCCTCATATAAATTGTCTTTACTGTGAAGGTAGTAGAATCCAAAACTAGTATGTACTTAAAGGCACTGGGGACCTAATCAACAGGGAGAAACCAATAATTCCTGAGACCAGGTGACTCATCCAAGTGTTTCTGAAAGGCCATGATATGAGCCAAGAGTGAAATTGAGAAATTTGGGGTAAAATATAAAATATATGACCAGTCCATTGTGCTGAAGGCTTGGAGGAGAGCCAGGGTAGATCTCATCCGTCAGGTCCCTTGGAACTAAGGACTACTGAATCTGGCAAACATTTTGAGTTTTCTAATAAGATCAACGTATGATGAGTGAGATCACCATATGTACAAACACATTTTAGATGAAATAGCACCATGGATAAAATAAGACTTGACTGTAGCCAAAATGGTGTTATGCTAAAACAGAGTGTACTCGGAGGGGTCTATGAGAGGCTGATAGCCAGCAAAGAAAGTCCAAATCCATGGTGAGTTGAAGAGGCAGAACTGACAGGTACATTCAGCACCTTCCAGCAAGAAGGATCTTGCACCTGGAGAAAATGAACAATTTTTGTCTATGGGGGAAGGGGTTCCTGATTATGATAAGGAATATTTTTATAAGGCTTAACACTGGATTAAAAATATCTCAAGGCAGTTTGCCTCCGTTTGCTCTGAATCCATGCTCAGAATATCTTTCTGATGACTCTCTTGGCTTTGTGGACATTTGATTCTGGGAAGGGAGGGGCTCTGGGTATGGGTCACAATTCCCTAAGGTAAACTTAGGGCTTAGTGTTCTGGTTTACATGTCAATCACTTAATACCATGACTGCCCCAAGAGACATGTATGGTATGATGACCAAATTAGATTTTGGACCCGCAAAGCTGAAGTCCATTAAGTGGAGAGGTCTGAAATGTGGAGAGCCAAATGGAGCCTTAGTTTTAAGCTGCAGCAAAGCTTGCTTCCATTTTGAGGCAAAACAGCAAAATATGTAATAATACACCTGAAGAGCATTTCACAGCTTACAAAACACTTTCATGACCTATTTGATTATCATGGCAATAAGAATACTATTGTTATTTTAAGAAGAAAGTTGAGGTTTGTGGCTTGAGCCACCCAGGTGCCCCCATTTTAACCATTCTTAAGTGTACAATTCAGTGGCACTAAGTACACTTAACACTGCTGTGCAACTGTTACCACCATCTGCCTCCAGAACTTTGTCATGATCCCAAAGAGAAACTTAATATCCTTTAATAAATCCAATTTCCCTCTTCCCCTGCCCCCTGGCAACCTCTCTTCTACTTTCTATGAATTTGCCTATTCTAGGTACCTAATATAAGTGGAATTATACAATATTTGTCCTTTTATGTCTGGCTCATTTCACTTTAGCATAATGTTTTCAAGGTTCATCCATATTGTAGCATGTCAGAATTTCTTCCCTTTTTATGGCTGAATAATATTCCACTGAATGGATAGAGCACATTTTGTTTATCCATTCATCTGTTGATGGACACTTGGGTTGTTTCCACTTTTGGGCTATTGTGAATAGTGCTGCTATGGACATTGGTGTACAAATATCTGTTTGAGTTCCTGCTTTCATATTTTGGGTCTATACCCAGAAGTGAAATTCCTGGATCATATGCTAATTCTACGTTTAAGTTCTTGAGGAACTGCCAGACTTTTCTATAGCAGCTGCACCATTTTATATTCCCACTAACAACGCATAAGGGTTCCAGTTTTTCCACATCCTGATCAACACTTGTTATTTTCCATTTTTTTGATAGTCATCCTAATGGGTATGGAGTGGTATCTCATTGTGGTTTTGATTTGTATTCCCCTAATGGGTAGTGATGTTGAGCATCTTTCCATGTGCCTATTGGCCATCTGTATATCTTTTATGGAGGAATCCATTCAAGTCCTTCCCTATTTTCAAATTAGGTTGTTTGTGTTGTTGTT